GCTTCTGGAGGCCGCGCGAAAGACTTGGGGCTTCCCCAGCCCGAGCTGGCGATATCTTCATGGCGTGGCGGCGCCGCACCCTCATCCTCTGGAATCGGTTGTGCTCCGCACTGAACTTGGCCGCGTATGCGCCCTGCCTCGGCAACAGGCAAATCTGCTTGTTCGTCATTTTGTGCGGTTTCAAGTGCCATAACGCCTTATACTGTCGCCGCTGCACTCCGCACTCCTTTGTTTCCTAGTGGCTGGGAAATGGATCGGCCTTTCCTGCCGTATGAACTTGACGTGGCCATCCGTGACTCTTCGCGTGGCTCAGCCCATTGCCCCGACGACATGTTGAATGAATTCCTTCACCGTCTCGGGCCCGTTGCGCACGGCACTCTTAGAACGATGATCCACAACTCCTTCGCAAGCGGCAGCCTGCGTGAAGACTCCATGAGCGGAAGTGACGACGGGGACTCTTCTTCACCGTCTCAGGTGAATATTTCTTGGTTGCCATTGTCTTCCATGGTAAAAAAGAGTGATGGTGAGGACTCACTGGGGCCGTGATTGAAGGTGTTGCACATGGCGGTAGAGGCAATTTTTGTGAAACGAAACAACACCAAAAAGCAACAACAATGTTTTCCCTTTTTTTTTTCTTTCTGTCTCTCTTTACCTATATATAGTGTGTGTGTCTGCGGCTTAGCTTCCTTTATATGGTTGGCCTTGTCATTACTGTTACGGATGCCCCTCACGTGTGATATTATATATGTATTTGTATGCACATATTCTTTTCTATGTCTGTTACTAAATGCCGTAGAAATAAAATATGGCACATGACGATCAGGCTATCGGTATTAGGCGAATGGACGTCTGATGGCTCAGTACAGAAGTGCGAAATATGTGAGGTCAAATTTAATTTCGTGTGCAGGGTCATCATTGTCGGTACTGTGGCGGTATTTTTTGTGCGTCATGCTCGAGCTTTTTCGTTAAATCACAAAATCTTCATGTAAATAAACCATGACGGGTGTGACGCAAATATTTTGAATTTCTTTCAAAGACACCGCAGGCTACAAACCCGTCTTGTGCTAGTGTTCAGAGCCACCATAAAGAGTTGAACGGTGTGAATGCCTGTAATTGCGAGTCCGATCTTTTGGCTACTGAATTCGCCCAGGCAGCAACTGTTGTCTCTTGGACGCCACGAAGAGGAGAAGATCGAAATACCGCAGGCACACTTCCCGACGAGGAGAATGCTGACGATGCTGATTTGGATGATGGCGACGACGATGTTTCTGCTGCTGTGGCAGGTGTATGCTCCTCTATGGGTGATGGGCAACACACCGGTGGCCTCGCCTTTCTTGCTGCACCGCAGGACAACCTTCGGTATTCAGAGGGCTCTGACGTAATTCATGTTCTTATTTATGTACCAGCTGCGAGGTGTCAGGTGATTTTAGTTGCAGTGAGTGGTGGGGAAACCGTGTTGATGCTCGCTAAGCGTTTGGTGGATTTGCACTTGAGGTTGGACGGTGGATCTTTCAAGTCGATTAGAACGGCTGAGAGAGAGATTTTACTGCGAAAAATGAGGTTTTCAAGTGAATCCATTGTTGTAGAGAATGAGGCCAATGCGAGTGATGTGGCATCTCATTGTAAACACTTGGTTCTCTCGACTCTGTCTGCCTCCGAGCTGCAGCATGCGCACGATGGGGATCCTATGGAGGGTTTTTTTTTGTAGCGAACTCTGCAATGAAAATAAGGACGGTATGATATGTTGGTTGTTGCCTTTTTATTTTTACTTTCGCGTGTTTGTGTTTTTGTTGTAATTTCCGCGTGTGTTATTTATTTATTTATTTATTTTTTCCTTTTGTCTCCGGCACAATTTGCAGAGAAAAGACCCTCATTTGGCTGCCGTCTTTTTTTTTTTTGTGTTAAAAAACTGTGAGTTTTCCCTCGTCTGCGTTCCCGCACTCACGGAGAAACAAAAGGAGGAGGAAAAACTTGTGAATTCCTGTCCTTCCAATTGAAGTGCCAGTCCGCCCTCCTGTGGAATACGTGGATGCTCCGCCTTGCAATCCGCAGTGCTCAAAACATCTCATATTTATTGATTTGCAGCGTTTTTAGTTGTTTTTTTAGAAACTTTTTGGAACGAATGTGCGAGTTGTGGGGGCGAATTTTGATGGCGCTGCGCGGGAAGGTGGCGGCTGCAGTTTCTTTCTGCCGTCCCACCCGCCTCCTTCATTGCGCCTCACGCGGTGCGGGGGAGTCCGGCGGCCAAAAGGGGCACTAAATTATGGCTGCGGCTCTGCTACTTTACGACGAGTTTGGCTGCTGTCGATTTATTTGTCTGATGGCTTTTGTTGCGTGTGCATGCGTGCTGGATAATTTTTCTTTGGAGCGCGTTGATGCGGAGCGATGTGTGGCTGAATTGTCTTCTCCCATTTTGTTGTGTTTTCCTCCTCTCACATTTCTGAGGATAAGACGTCAACGACCTCATCTAAGCACATGTTCATTTCTTTTTCTTTTATTTTCTTTTACGTTTGAAGAAAACGGACGTTTCCGTTTTTCTGAAGGAGTTTTAAAAGGGCGAGGAAGGAATCTGGCGGCAGCGTTCCTTTTGGTGGCGAAGGGAGCGCGGGTGCCGCAGGTGTAGCAAACGCATTTTCACAAGACGCAACAAAAACAATTGGACGTATTTTATCTCCGGACGACTCGGGGGAAAGTGAGCAGAGCATCAGCGATCGTGAAGCCGAAGACGCGCCGTCTTCATATCTCTGAGAAGCAAGAGGCAACGGTATGATGCATTTTGGCGGCGCACGCAAGAGGGAGGTTTGGGCCGTACACGCGAGTCTTTTACGGAGATAAAAACGTACCGGACGAATCGGTGTCCAAAGACGGACAGCAGCATCCCCAATGCGACAGTTCGGAGGGCAACTCACTCCATTCCTTTACGAGTAGCAGCCAAGAGGGGTGGCGCGTCAACCGTTAATAAACTACGTGATGAGCTCTTGCGGAAAAGGAACTCTCTCAGTCAATCATTGGTGGTGAGGGAGCATACAGGCAGTTGTTTTGCGGATGATTCTCGGGAGTGTGCATTGAGCACAGGCGCTGAGGAATTTCTTGTCTGTGTAGATGATCTTATTGCCCCTGAGAACACGGCT